AGAAAAAGTAAAATGCTTTTAATGCATTTCATCCATATCTTACACTTACCTTTTAATAAGCTCTGTGGCATTGGTTGACTCCTGATACTCAATGTTAAAAACATAAAAGGAACCAAAGAAAACACAGAGATAAAATAAATATAAAATAGCAACATAAAGCATCAGAGTAGATGGGGCAGTAATGGTTGAACAGTAATTTACCATTGATTATCACAGTAAATATCTGTAATGGTACATAGAGTAAATTACTGTAATTTATTCTTTGGACTACAGAATTTCATACAAATCCTGCTCCTTTTACAGTAAAATACTGTTTCCTTTCATTACAGCTAAACGCTGGCTATTTTAAAGTTATTTACTGCATAATCTACAGTAAGGGTTAACAGTGTAGGACTTTTACAATGTAGATTGTGTCAAAGCAGCTTAATATAGAAATTCTAGTAAATTGAAACTGTGTCAGTGCAGTTTTCAGAGGTGAAGTTTTGTTTACTTTAGTTTAGTGTGGTTTAATATTCACTGCTGAAAGTCCAAACACTGAAAAGCAAATCCATCGATGTGCGGCTCAACAAATTCCAAAACCAGTGGCGACAGTGGCGAGGAACAAACTTCAACAATTGATAAAAGTGAAGGAAAAAACCTTGAGAGAAACCAGGTTCAGTTGGGCACGACCATTTCTAGCTGGCCCACGGGATCAATGCGGACACTCGTCTGTCTTTCAGGAATCACGCTCTCCACTCCTCCTTGACCACAACATCATCTGCATAGGATATGGCCTCATCCAGGATTATGGTAAATTTTCCGGAAAGGTATCATGTGTGAACAGGCCCTTATACCGGTAAATATGTTCTGCCAGTTTTCCAAAAAAAGATTATTTGTGAACTGGCTCTTATACTGGTAAAATACCTGTAAATATGTTCTGCCAATTTTCCATAAAGGAGTCATGTGTGAACAAGCCCTTGTACCAGTAAAATACTGATAAATTTGTTCTGCCAATTTTCCAAAAAGGGATCATGTGTGAACAGGCCCTTATCCCGGTAAAATACCAGTAAATTTGTTCTGTCAATTTTCCGAAAAGGGATCACGTGTGAACAGGCCCTAATACGGGTAAAATATGGGTAAATATGTTCTACCAATTTTCCAAAAAGGGATCTGGTGTAAACAGGCCCTTATACTAGTGAAATGCCGGTAAATTTGTTTTGCCAATTTTCCAAAATGAGATCATGTGTGAACAGGCCCTTATACTGGTAAAATACCAGTAAATTTGTTTTGCCAACTTTCCGGAAAGGGATCATGTGTGAACAGGCCCTTATACTGGTAAAATGTCGGTAAATTAGTTTTGCCAGTTTTCCAAAAAGAGATTATGTGTGAACTGGCTCTTATACTGGTAAAATACCGGTAAATTTGTTCTGCCAATTTTCCAAAAAGAGATTATGTGTGAACAGGCCCTTGTACCAGTAAAATACCAGTAAATATGTTCTGTCAATTTTCCGAAAAGGGATTATGTGTGAACAGGCCCTTGTACCAGTAAAATACCAGTAAATATGTTCTGTCAATTTTCCGAAAAGAGATTATGTGTGAACAGGCTCTTATATTGGTAAAATACCGGTGAATTTGTTCTGCCAATTTTCCAAAAAGGGATTATGTGTGAACAGGCCCTTATACAGGTAAAATAGGGGTAAATATGTTCTACCAATTTTCCAACAAGGGATCATGTGTAAACAGGCCCTTAAACATGTAAAATACCGGTAAATATGTTCTGCCAATTTTCCGGAAAGGTATAATGTGTGAACAGGCCCTTATACTGGTAAAATACCGGTAATTCTTTTTCTGCCAATTTTCTAAAAAGAGAAGTTGTAGCATTACCAGTAAATTCCTGGAATGCTACTCTGTGTGAACTCTTTCGAAAGGGTGGCGAAAAAGTGGTACGGTACGGTTTGGTTCGGTATGCCTTTTGACAGTGGAAATGGCCATAAAAGCGTACCAAACCGTACCGTACCCTACCACTCAGTTGTAATGGGCCCATACAGACCCCGTCTGTCATTCAGCATGCATACACTGAATTCAAAGGTTGCAGAGATAGACCAGCTCTTGCAATTCTATTACTTTTGAGATTGGCTCTGTATTGATGGTACTTTCACTTTTCATATAAAGATTAAACATACGGGGAAAATATGGGAAAATTAAACATGATATCGGGCAAAACGGGAGGGTTGACAGGTATGTGTCATGCTAATGGTTAATGGTGTTATCAATCATCGCTTGGATACTGCAAAATAATCTTTAATCTTTATTGTAACATTACCTCTGTCTTTGTCGCGTTTTTTCTTCCTCTTCTTTTCTTTTTTGCCTCCCCTGCGCACCAGACAGTTTGGTGCTTTTTGACGTTGAGCTTGTTGATCAAATCAAAAAAATCAAAAAAAGGTGTCGTGAATTCGACTTATTATCAATTAGAAATTATCAGACCGGAGGTTTTGAATATCAGAAAATAGACTTTATTCTCCATAATAAAGCCGAGAAAGAGCAGAGCAGACCCCAGAGCATTCTGAAGTCTCTCCTGGACACTTTCTAAAGTCTCTCCTGCTCCTTCTAAAGTCTCTGTGTTTTTTACAATATTTATACAGGTTATTTTGACACACCCCTTTGTGTCTCTTTTTAACTCTTGACCATTTTTGAATAGGTTTTCTAGTCTAAGGGGTCCTGCTATTCTTGGCTCTCAGCCCACTAGCTCATGTCAACAGAGATGTTACAGGTCTATGTCAGCAAAGTATAGATGCAACTTATGCAAAGGAACTAAGTGTTTACATACATTGTTATGATAGGATAATAACTTGATAATATGTTACTCATTCTAACTTCTGATACATATAGCTTCATACAAGTATTTAACATATATGTTAGATCTACACAATCAGTCATTCAGCCTTCTCCTAGTGTTGCTTCTGTGCAGGCATACTCATCTTACACAGACATATCACTGTATTTTTAACACAGGCTGACATGTTTGCTGCAAACACTACATACATTTTGAGAAGAGAAAATTAACTGCTTTACACTTAGAAAATACTTCATACAGAGAGAATAAAATCTTCTTCACAGGTAAAGTCTAATTATTCGAATGTAGAATTTATGTAGAATTTATTACTACTACTGCTGCTACTTAGTAGGCTACTTAGTAGGCTTTGCACTTTGCAGTTAAATTAATGTGGGCGTATTATTTTATAAGTCATAGTACCAACTAGTTTTAGGAATAGTGTAAGTTGCACTTTTTTTTCTTCTCCCATTTCTGGTGCGCACCTGATGTACAGCGCCCTTAGCATTAGCCTATACTGCCTATGCCATGGGTCGGCCCTGCGTATGGCTGCATTTTGTCCCTAAAACAAATGTTAGCGGATGGTATGATGCTGTTTTGCACTTACCAGCTGACCAGCTGTATGCAGGATTATCTACTGTTACCATTTGATCCAGTGGCTAACCATGTACGTCAGAGAATTTAAGACGCTGAGTTGACTGTGACAACTCTGTTGAAGTCCGATGAGAATGGTTCCAGAAAGCAGTTAAAACAAAAACAAAAGTAAAAAAATATAACCAACAAGTAAATAACGTGGTAAAATTTGAAAACGTGGTAAAATCATGCTGCTCTGAGGGCTTTTCTTTGTCTGGATTGCTTTTGAAAATACTATTGGTTGGGTTTAGAGAAGTGGGTGGGTGCTGGTCAATCAGTGCTTTTGAAAACACTATCGGTTGGGTTTAGGGAAGGTGGTGTTTAGGGAATCAGTTGGTCGGTCAGTAAATCAGTCAGTCGACAGCAACCTCTAGTGGATTTACGGCACTTATGAGAGAAATTTGAGATCTAACAACGCTCACACAATGGCCTCTGGTGGATTCGCAATATATATATATATATATATATATATATATATATATATATATATATATATATATATATATATATATATATATATATATATATATATATATATATATATATATATATATATATATATATATATATATATATATATATATATATATATATATA